CATGGTATTATTATTATCCACTTGTAACACAAGGTAGGCGACTGGTAGTAATAAAGAACAACCAACTAGGAGCAACAAAGTTTAGTTCTAATAGTCAATAGACTATTACGTTGTTTACTTACTTGTTGTTGTACTTCTCTCTCTCTCTCTCTCTCTCTCTCTCTCTCTCTCTCTCTATATATATATATAGGGATTGTATACAATGAGATCATTTACCTTTGATACAATGAGATTATTTACCTTTGATACAAGGAAGTCACAAGTATTAATAACCATCTGATGTGAAATTTGATAGCGTGTGTGTCACAAAGTTTGAAAAAAATTCTTTTGAAGTTTGAGCTTGGTCAATGCAATGAATGCAGCCATCAAATTTCACATCCAATGGTCAAGATTAATAGTGACCACCTTGTCCATTGAATCTTGACCACCTTTGGTACAAGGTGGTCATAATTAATCTTAACCATTGGATGTGAAATTCGATGGCTGCATTCATTCTATTGACCAAGCTCAAACTTCAAAATAAATTTTTTCGAACTTTGTGACACACGCTATTAAATTTCACATTGGTTATAAATACTTGTGACTTCCTTGTATCAAAGGTAAATGGTCTCGTTGTATACAATCCATATATATATATATATATGAGCAATGATCCAATGCAACGGTTGTATCATAGTATAATGCAACGACACTTCTAGAAAACCATGTTTGTGGTATTTGTATGACCCCAAATTTTGCGCACACACTCTCTTCATTTCAATAATCAATCCCCCCCAAAAAAAAAAAGTTCAATTCGAACCCTAGATATGATCAAAATGAGTCCCCACCAAAAACAAATCTAGACCATTAATTTTGTGAATTTCAAGATCTTAACCTTTATAAACTCAAAATCATTTTTTTCTTTTTTAACATTGTTCATCTAATGATAATAAAGCTATCCAAAAAAGTTGGAAATGAAAAAAATCCTTCTAAGGCCTAGATCTAAACATCTCACCAAAATGAACGGCCTATGTTAATTGGGCTAAAAAATACTTTCTAAGTTGTGTTTTCAATTTTTTTCTTTTTTTGTGATTATTCATTAGAATGAAAAGAGTGTATATTTCAAAATTTGGATCAAACAAATGACCATAAGATGGTTTTTTAAGGTTGTTGCATCCTATTACTATACAACGGTTGCATTAAATCATTGCCCTATTTAAATATAAATATATATATATATATATATATATATATATAGGGAAAATATGTTGTGCGCCCAAGTCCGTACTACTACAATAAACGCCCACGGCCCAGATTGAATCTAGGCCGATCTGAAGTTCACGCATGTCCGATAGTGTTTGAATTTTACTTTTTTTTTTTCTACAAATCCAAGTCACTTTAAATTTTAGATGTGTGTTTTTCTCAGTAATAAAAATATAAAAAAAATAATTTGTGAAATCAAAATTGACTAAAATGCCCCTTGAAACTTTTCGGGGATATTTTGGTCAATTTATTTCATGTAAAATTTTGTTTTGATATTTTTCCTAGATTCGCCTATTTTTTAAGAACACACACTTAAAATTTCAAGTGATTTGGATTTGTAGAAAAAAAACTAAACTTCAAACACTATTGGACATCCGTGATCGTCAGATCAGCCACAAAATGGCCCAAATTCAATCTGAACCATTCGCATATGGGTGTATGGGCGTACAACAATGACTCCCACATATATATATATATATATATATATATATAGAAATACTTCCTAACG